TTCTCAAATTATAGTTTTCTCCAGATATATGCCCAGAAGTCAGATTATTGGAATGTATGGTAAGTCTATTTTTAGTTTTTTAAGGACTCTCCATACTGTCTTCCATAATGGCTGCACCAAGCTACATTCCCACCAACAGTGTAGGAGGGTTCCCTTTTCTCCACACCTTTTCCAGCATTTATCGTTTGTGGCCATTTTAATGATGGCCCTTCTGCCCAGGTGAGGTGATACCTCATTATAGTTTTGATTTGCATTCCTTTGATAATGAGTGATTTTGAGCATTTTTTTCATGTGCCTATTGGACACTTGTATGTCTTCACTGGAGAAATGTTTGTTTAGGTTTTCTGCCCATTTTTTGATTGGGTTGTTTGCTTTTTATTTTTTATTTTTGGTGGGGGGAGGTAATTAGGTTTATTTATTTAATGGAGGTACTAGGGATTGAACCCATGACCTCCTGCATGCTAAGCATTTGCTCTACCACTGAGCTATACCCTCCCCCACTGCATTGTTTATTTTTTTATTATTGAGTTGTATGAGCTGTTTGTATATTATGGAGATTAAGCCCTTGTCAGTCCCATCATTTGCAAATACTTTTTCCCACTCCACAGGTTGTCTTTTCATTTTGTTTCTAGTTTCCTTTGCTGTGCACAAGCTTATAAGTTTAATTAGGTCCCATTGATTATTTTTGCTTTTATTTCTATTATCTTGCCAGAGTGCCCTAGGAGAACATTGTTAAGATTTACATCAGAGAATGTTTTGTCTGTTTTCTTCCAGGAGGTTTATAGTGGCTTGTCTTACGTTTAAGTCTTTAAGCCATTTAGAGTTGATTTTTGTGTATGGTGGAAGGGAGTGTTCTAACTTCACTGATTTACATGCAGCTGTCCAGTTTTCCCAACAGAGAGGTAATATGTTTTGAAGTCATATTTTATATATATGTAACATATGTCATGTATGCACTATATATGAATTGCAAAAGGTTAAATCGAATTTATTTGGTCATTGTTGCCTTTTTGTAAACTAAAAGCTATGTTAATGTTTATTGAGCTCTCACTACCTGTTAGGCACCACACACTATGCATTATACAGGGCTTCTCAGACTTTAATGTAAATATATGTCCCCTGGGGATCTTGTAAAAATGTAAGTTCTGATTCAGTTGGTCTAGGGGAGGGCCCAAGAGTCTACATTTGTAACAAGCTCCTGAGTGATGCTCTTGGTACATAGACTACATTTTGAAATGGAAGGGATTGTATCATTTGATCCCGATGACAACACTGAGGTGAGGATTATTTTTCCTATTCAACAAATGTGGAAACTGAAGGTTAGAAGAATTAGACCATTCTCCCAGGTTTATGTTGCTAGAAATTAGCAGTGGTCAGACTCTAAACTCAGTTCTGCCTCCTGATATAGTATGTATTATCTATATACTTTTTCATAAGTGTTCTACCACACACAAGGGTGATTTGATGCTATCGGAAACAAAATTTATATTTTTGTTAACTATTTCTTCCTTTTACTAATTAAATTTCTCTTTATCCTTGTATTACACGGTGATTCAGATGTGTTGGATTTTATTTCTAAAGATGACATATAAAACCTAATATGATTTATTTGCTGAAATTAAAGGTTAGGAAACATTGTGCCATTGATGCAATCTGGTTTGAACACGAGAGGAAGTTGCTGGGGAAGGATGTGTGTGAGGAAAGGAAATCCTCAGACTGATTTATTGTTTAACGCTCAGTGTACACATTGTGATATGCTTGCCACAGACTAGTGGAAAAGGCTTGCAGTCCCTGTCCTTAACAGATCAGATACACTTTAAAAAATACCATTTTGGCCTGCTTATAAAATTAATATGGCTCGTAATATAAAATTTGAGCTACAGGAATGTAATAGTAAAATAAAAAATTATCTAAAATCCTGTCAACTGACTTTACATTTTATTTTTATTTTCAAAATATAAAAGAATACATCTCGAAATGGTGACCCAGGACATTTCACAGAAGAGCAAGAGTTTAATATGGTAATATCTTGCCATAAATAATTTAAACACAATTTTTGGTTTTGAGGGGCAGTGGGAGTAAAAGGGGCAGAGTCAGCAGTCCCCAGAAGATTTAAGAAACGCGAATATGCTGCTCAGCCAGCACTGCAGTTCTGAGATCAAGTTCCAACTTTCACAGAGGGTCCCAAAGCTTAGCCCAACCCGTGCAACTGAGGACTAACGTTAATTGCTCTCTAACCCAGGCTCGCGTCGCCAGCGCATGCGCAGTGTGGCCGCCGGGACTCCGTGGGCGTTTCGCAGGCCTATTTGTCTCCCGCAGGTTTTTGTGCGGTCAGCAAATGAGCCAGACTGCGACGCCGACCAGTTCTGAGCGTGAGAGGGGAGAGGGAGACCATCTCTAAGTGAAAAACAGCTCGCGTCGAAATAAGCTCGGGGTGGGAGGCGAGTTTCTGCAGGCGTCTCCACACACACACTTTTAAGGTGCTAAAACATCTTTAGGACCAACTAACTTGGAGAAACAGGAATTACCTGTAAGAGGAGAATGTAGGGGATGGAAGGGGTGAGGCGGTAATGATCTCGAAAACTTTCAGCTTCTGTGTTCTCAAGATGCTCTGTGCCTCCCCTCCCCCTTTCTCTGGGAAGTTCGGATGCTTCAATTAATCCTTCGTTCCTCCGAGACCCTTTAAAAATTGCACTCGCCGTTTAGGGGGGTCCTAATAGGAACCCCCGCTGAGTTACATTGTTCAGCCACTCTGTCCCCAAATCGGGAAGGCGTCCCGAGAGAAGATTTCCGGATGCCTGGGGTTGCGTGAGCTCCGCCGACCTGAGGGCTCGTGGTGGGCGGGGGCGCTGGGATCCCACCGCGTCTCTCCCCACCCCTCCC